GTTTTGTGAAGTGCTTCAGCTTTGGCATCCTGCTGCATCCATTGCTGTTCCAGATTTTGGTACCCGGGGCAGCAATACTGATTTTTCAGGTTACGAGTGTGGACCTGTGTTCAAATAATTTTATAGTTCCAAAGATTACGTAAACTTGATGGAGTACAGAATTTTTCGGGCTCCAGGTACAAGTAGTTAATCCAGCCCTGTGCTTTCCAGTCTCAATCTCTGATTGCGCAGGATGCGTTTCAGTATCATAGTTTCTGAGTCAAGTCACGTGCAGCGGAACCTTTTAAAGTCTGACTGTGTGGCATCAGAGTAGTTGAACCCGATGCGCTGCTAGTCCTGAATCTCAGACTGGGATTGGCAGCAGAGCCTTCCCTGGGGTGGGCAGTCACAGAGGGATTTAGGTGAGTTTCTGGTTTGTGTTTTGGAACAATGTGGTTGCAGTCTGGCCTTGGTTTTGTGTGGGGGGTGCTCAGGGTGGGTTCCTGAGGTGCTGTAGCAGGGAGGGGTATTTGCGGGAGTGCTTATCTGCCCACGTCAGAAATGAATGTTGTGTTTTCCCGAAGTGTTTCTGGACTGTGGTGCCTTTTATACTTTGGGGGAGGCAGGGAACAATGGGTGCAGCTGCTTTGAGTGGAACCTTCCCAGCCAGACCTTGGGAACCAGAACTTTTGAGGGTCAGCCTTAGATGCTGGGCAGAGTGAGAGGAAGACTAACGAGACTTATTGATGATTAACAAGATTTATTGATGGTTTAAAACCTCAGTGTGCTATTCTGCCACTCACTAATCTACTGTTAGACATTCTGTCAGTGGATATTTTGAACCTCTAAATCCATATAATATGCTGCTAAATGGAAGCATTAGACTCTGTTCTCCTGGTTGGACTGGGCTTTAGTACAGCCAGAGGTTTGAAGCATTGCTGATTCAGATATTTTCCTCAATATAAAATTGTACCAACATGAATCACTTCCTAGATATTTTAATTTTTTTGTTTAAACTAGCCCTGTGTGTTTTCTGTCAGTGTAACCTGCTTTTCTCCCCTCTGTGTTTTGTGGTAGATGTTCCCGTGTGGTCTAAGCTGGAGTCTGGCCACCTTCCTTCCATGCAGCAGCTTGTACAAATTCTTGACAACGAGATGAAGCTCAATGTGCACATGGAGTCAATGCCTCATCATCGATCATAGCCCCATCTATCAGCACTGAAACTTCTTGTAAGTCTTCTTCCAGTCACCAGCTGTCTGCTGGCTCAGCTGTGGCGGGCTGCGTGGTGCAGATTGAACATTGCCATCAAGTATTTGTTCATTTAAATGTGTTTTACTGGAGAACCAGCTCTAGTGACTGTAGGTAAATCAACACGTATGATGTTACAGGTACGGTTCTGGTGGGAGGTATTGGTTTGGGGTTTGTTCTGCCTGTTCCAGAAGCGGAAGCTGGCGTTCCTTTGGGCAGAGGGAGGTGTGTTACTGTGTGCAGAAGGCCTTAGGTTAGTGAACGGTATTGTGGAGAGACGAGAAAACACACTGCACTGTGTGCCTTAAAATAGTCTGTGGAAGGGGGTTTCTCTGTAACTTGTAACCTAATTGAATCGCCTGGCCCTAGAAAGTAGAACGTTTTCTTGCTCCTGTCTGTGTGCTGCACTGTTTTAACCTTTTGCAAACACTCCTTGACTGTTAGGAGCAGAGGGTTTGCATCTGTGCTTATATGTTTTATGACAAGCCAGTTCCATGTACCTGTGTCACCTGTAGCTTTCAAAACACGTGGCTTGTGATTTGTTGGAGGAGCATTGATGTGCTGTCTTGGTGCAAAGACTGCTGTGGTGCAAACATTGACAGTTGAGACTCGGGAGAGCGCTTCAGTGAAGTAGCGCTGTGCTGCGGTGCAGTTTTTTGCACAGGAACGCCTTGGTTTGAGAGACTGTTTTCTGGGCGTTACCTTGCCAACAGGTTCCTGGAGTAGGGAGCGCGATTCGGAGAGATTGCTGCCTCAGGGTCCTCATGAGGGAATATGGGAAACAGTTCACTTTTGATTCCTGCAGGCACATCCTGTTTGTTCAGTTAAGTCTGGTTTGTCCTAGTAATTTGGCAAAAGTCATCTTAATGGTGAAATAAATGGTTTCATACTTTGAAGTATTATTTAGCGTTAAAAGGTTTGGTGTTTCCTGTACTTTTCAGGCGGGCTTGTGGAAGCCCAGCATCACGTGTGTATGGACTTGGAGGGTTGCGGGCAGTATTCTTTGTTGCTAAGTAGACTGACGTCACTTTGAAGCTTACAAAGCATGCTAAGACTGTTCTTATGTAGAATTTTATTTAATAGGATAAGTTTAGAAAAACAACAGCAACAAGCCCCATTCAGCTGTATTTCCATCCACGTGAGAAATGTCACTGTCGGACTCTCCTGCCTGTAGCATGACTCAGTGTTTTCATGTCTCCTTATTTAAGTTGGTCATTCTGATGGTATCCTTGCAGGCAAACGCCCAGCATAAAATCGTAACAGTACTCTCTTGCTGCGAGTCCTGACCTCCCACAGACAGTCCTTGTCATTCCGGTTTTGTAACCCTCAGTGTGCGTAGCCCGCTGTTCTCCCTGCTTCGCAGCAACGCCCCAGCACTCTGCTCCAGTTGTTGGAGGTGGTTTGCTCGTGAACGTGGGAGCCGGTTGCCGACTGTAACACTTGTGTCTCCGTTTGCAGGCATTAAGTGATGGTTTCCGAGGGCAGCGTGGCGCAGACCCATGAAGGCCTGTACTGAAGACAGCACGCTGTTAGTACAGACTGGATGCTTCTCTCGCAGCCATGTTGTGCCTCCTGAAAAAAAACTTAATGAAAGACTCTTTCAGTGCTGGCATGTTCCCAGATACTGCACAGTCACGGAGTGCAATAATACTGTATAGTTTTTTTAAGATTCCATTCGACCAGTTCATAGCTCAGCAATGCAGGCATTACTAACTGTAACTTATTTTATATTCGTGTTTCACCCCATGGCGGATTGAGTTGATATCTGATTTTTCCTTGGGAAAAAAGTTTGTTTAATCTGTTGTATTTTATATGAATTTATGTTCTTTTTCTAGTTTAAAATGAAGTTATAGGAGTGTCTGATATTGTCCTAAACTGTTGAGTAACTGACAGCTGTCTATCAATTTTTCAAAAGATATGGCAGAGTTGAACAGTGCATTATATACTAAATTATAGAAACAAAATTATATGCAGAGTAGTTACATCATTTTGTGACTTCAGTAAAAAGTAAGATCAGCTGCTCTTTAAATCGCGTTGGCCAGCTCAGGAGGTTTTTCCTTGACCATTTGGAAGAGGTGAAAAGCTGGGCCGCTCTCCTGTCCTAGAGAGAAACCGAGAAAGTTAATTAAAATAAAGAGCTCTCATTTACTGTGTGAAGCACCTCCTTTGAGTCACTGATGGATATTCTGAGAATTGCAATTGACAAAATGCATAAGAAGCCTACTTTCCAAAGCCATTCCTCTTGTGTTTGTCTTGCCTAAGCCCATAGCGGTGTCCCAGAGTGTCCCTGCTCTGGCAGGAGCACCCCGGGCTGCGTGTTCCCCTCATGTGCTGCCAGGCTGCAGTGGGAGCTCAGGTCCTGGTGTGGCGGGGCAGCTCGCTGGGTTAATGCTGAGGCTCCAAGGCAGGTCTCTTGCAGGGCTGGGAGTTTTCCTCAGGCTGGCTGCGTGAGTCGGTGAGAGCTGCAGCCTGCAGTTCCTCTTCACCATCCTCTCTCCGGACCGTGGTGTGCTCCCAGCCTGCCTCTCGCTCTGTTTTTTTTTGTCCCTGCTCTGAGCTACAGCGTTTCACACCCTTTGTAAAACCAGAGAAGGGACTTCCTGGGTCCTGCTTCTCAAACATTGTCGTGGTGTTAAAATTGCTGCTTTTTGCTCTCCCCTCCTGCACAGTGCTACTTTGGAATTTGAAAGTGAAGGTGTAAAGACCTGTTCATCTAAGAAAGCCCTGTTTGAACACCTGATTGATTTCACCCATGTGCAAAGTGCATATTAAATAATAAATCTGAGGGGAAAATTCAAGCTTGTTGATCTTGACTTGTTAAGCATGAGGGTAGATGGTACAGGTCTGGTGGAGTTGCTGTGAGCTGGGTGCAGACCAGGGAAGGACAAAAAAATGGGTCTCATGTTTCCCACTGTGGGTGCAGAAAATGGGCCATTACCCGTAAGCGGTTTGCAGCAGAGATCTGTGTTCGGGGCTCATCTTGTGACAGGGTAAATCAGACCGGCCCTGGTGAAAACTGGAATTGCAATGGCAGAGCAGGTCACCCTTGAAATCCCAGGTGTGATCATCTTTCTAAGATACAGTCTAATCAAAGCTTTTCACCCAAGCCACCGTGCCTGAGCCTGCGGAGTGTCGTGGGAGCGGGGCCATGCTCTGCCTCGAGCCCCAGGACACGGCGGGGGGACGGGACAGTCCCTTGCTCCCTCTCTGGGGAAAGCTCTGAAATCACCTGGGCACGGAGGGACAGAGGGCAGCCAGTGGTGCCTGGCACGTCTGGTAATTTTAGTATGTGCTCCTGCCCAGTGGACTGCGGTGCAGGCTCTGGGTGGATCTGAAGGTCAGTTATTCCGTTGAACATCCGGTTCCTGCCCTTTCCCCAAGGCTGCACCCCGCTGACCCCTGTGCTGAGCAGCGCCAGCCCGGGCGAGCAGGAGCAGCCCCCTCCCCGCCCCTCTCCTGGGGTGTTTCTCAAGGCAGCAGCAGGTGCGGTGCATGGCTGCGATGGCATGGCAGGCGCCCTTCCTGCCCCGCGGTTTTGGCGGTGCCATCAGAAGAGCCGTCGTGCCATGCATTAACGAGAACTTGCAAATAATATCTGTCTTGGACTGGTAGACTTAAATTCTAAATCTGTAATAAATGTGCATTTAATGACTGGAATGTTTATCCAGAGCCTAATTTGACATACATTGGATTTCATTTTTTTGGGTTCATTTACTATGCAACTTCCTACTAGTGTTGCGGTTGCAGCTGGATGGAGCGCACAGCCGTGCTGGTCACACTTGAGAATTGACCATCGCCCTGACCGAGCCGCGTATCTCATTGCTTATGTCAGAAGTTGTGCAAAGCTGTAAGATCTTCAAAGTCTGTGTGATAAGGTATGCTGGAGGCTTCATTTTGTCCCATTGCTCATTAGAAGGAAAGTTGAGGCATCCGCGCAGTCTGTCGAAGAGCCACAGAATCCTCACCCTGAAAGCAAGCAGCAGGAGCTCGTCTTCGCCCAGTCGGGCGGCAGGAGGCAGCCGGCTGCCGTCGCTGACCTGGGGAGCAGAGGCTGTGTCAGCAGAGCCACAGCAGTGGGGGCTTTGCTCTCCCCCCAGAGACAAACCTGCCCCCACGGCAGGAGCCCACGGAGGAAGGGAGCTGCCACACACCCTGCCCACGTGGATCACGGCTCTCCTCCCCGCGGCAGAGCCAGGGTGACCCTCAGGGACACAGCCAGGGACAGCAGGGGGCCTGCCCGGAGTGCTTCCCCCACTCTGCAGCCTCTTGCAGAGAGCTGAGGCTGCCGGGCTGGCGAGCCCCGCATCTGCAGGGGCCTGAGCAGGGGCACCCCTCCACCGTTTGCTGTTCTGGGGGGCAGGACCACGGGACAACATGGGGAGCACCCACTGTGGGACGGACAGGGAGCAGCTTTGCACGGAGCTCCCTGTGCGCTTGCGAAGTACCTGCACCTTGGTTCCCACGTTGAATTTTGCTTGTTGCCCCATGGCGAGGAAGGAAACGGTGATCCTGTCCTGGCCCAGGATCCTCACCCCCACGTGCTGGTTCAGGGAGAGGAAGATGGGGCTCAGTGGAACGTGGGGGCCTGATGATGTGACGCTGTTGGGCCACGTCCACCTTCTCACCCTGCTGCCTGCTTGGTCCAAATACTGCCCGCCCTGGACAGTCATGTTTATCCTGAAAGAGGAAAAGCAAAACTGAACCGTGCAGTTCCCAGGGGCTGTGTCCCTCCTTCCCCAGGGCACGGGACTGAGGCTCAGCAAGTTCCAGGTCTAACCCCCGTCTCGCGACACTGCTGGGGTAGCCTCGCACCTCTGGGAGCCTCCCGGCAGGGTCCACGAGCTGCTGTATCTGTTAAAAACACCCTTTAGGACCTTTGAAATTTAAAATGCACAGTGGAGAGCAAAACTTGAACATACCACACGGCTCCGTTCGGATAATAGCAAGTGCTTCTGCCATTGGACTTAAATACTGCTCGTATTTTGGCCTTACTCGGCGTGTCTTCCTGTACGATGCAAATAAGCCGCTCTTTCTCTCGTACAACAAGAATCGCCAGATTTCCAGATGGATAGCTGTCGTCAGATAAGGTGTTTGGAACCCTTTTCTTTGTCTAGTTGTCTTATTATTATTACATACTAAATATTTCAGAGCGCTACTCTGGGGTATAAACATGGACATATTGCCCAGATCCCTGTGTTAGTGGTGGTGTGCTGCTTGGGTCACCTGGGACACTTCCTGGGTCACCTGGGATGCTGCCAGTGCTTTTCTCCTACACGGAGGTATTCTGTATACACTGACAAAGAGCAGGTAGAGATACAGAATACGTTTTTGTTGTTTTCTAACCAATAGCTCAGGCAGAACTGCTCAGCAAGTTCATATAAAAGACACATTCTTGGACAACGCTTACGATTGAAAGCACGAGCCTAGCAAAGTGAAGTGATCACAACTTGGATGACAGCAGCCCCAGAAACCTAACTGGAAGGTATTCAGACAGGAATATTTTGTGTCTTGCTGGTCCCCTGGAACAGGAGATTCAGTGATAAAGCAGATTAGGGCACACTTAAAATTACAGTTACAACCCCAGAGTAACTTGGGCAAACAAACCCCATAAAGGATACAATAATTGCGCTGTTCCATCTGGAAGCACGGTAAGGAATTTCCCTCCGTGCTTGTAGTATTTTTCCAACAATTTGTTCTTCACTACCTAAGATTGGAAAAGAAACGACAGAACGGATCAGGCGCCAGGCTCCAGCCGCTGCGGAGTGGGGACGCGGCCGAGGTGTGTCCTTGCCTGTCCGCCCACGAGGGTGAAGTCGCAGCAGGTGACGCTGTAGGAGACGGGCTTCTCCTCAGGCTCTGCTGCTGTCTCATCCGGCACCAGCGTCCGGCCCTTCAGCGACGGGGGCTCCTGGGAAAGCAGGTAGGAAATGGTGCCACCTTGGCTGGAACCTAGAGCGAAGGGAGGTTTGTGGGCATGGGGCAGCACTGGCAGCGATGCCAGCCCAGCACCCCTGCAGGGAGGCTGTCACCTGGGGAGTGGGACCATCTGCCTGAAATGCTCTGTACTGGGAGGCTGTCTCGGGGAGTTTTCTATCTAACAGGGACAGTCCAACGTGTTCACCTATTTCAAGAACAAGATTGTGGAAAAAGATGTATTTTTCTCAGTTAGTGTCTATACACACATCTCTGTGAGTAAAGGATGACAGCATTCCCGGCTCCATGCTCTGGAGGGCTGAGGCTCTGAAATCCTGGTGCTGCAGAAGCCTCAGTATCCCGCCATGCCCACATCGTAAATCTGATTTTACAGCTGGATCCCAAGGGCTGCTCAGTCATCTGCAGCCTGGGCTGGGAATTAGTGGAGCATTCACCTGATGAGGCAAATCATCGATCACCCAGCTCTGGCAGTTCCTGCCTTCCAAGGGCTTGGCTGTGCCAGCTTCTTATTCTCTAAGATGCACATTCCTGTGCATCCCAGCTGAAAGGTTCAGCTATGAACACTGAAAGTCACAGGAAGGAGATCCTCTCTGTGCAGTGGGAATGTAGCTGCATTGGTTTTCTCATGTGAGGGATTGTTTAATATGGCAGTGTCTAATTTAATGGGATTGCATGCTTGACAACGAGCCAACGTCGCTGTGTAAATCCTGCTCAATTAGAGAGCATCAGAGACAAGCACTCCATTGAATTCATTGGTGTAATAAATAGACAAACAAACATGTAAGGAAACGCCAGCTCACCTTCAGCTACACTCGGCTGGGCTGCCAGGAGCGCTAACTGTCTGGCCATTTGTCTCTCCAGCTTCCTGGAAAACGAGAGTGGTCCTGACACACACCTCCTATATCCTGCTTTGAACACTGGAAGTCCTGCACACCCTTGCTGTAGGAACACAAGTTTCTGAACCTGTTTTTCTCTCCACTCACATAATTGCAAATAACAGTTCGAGGCAACAGAATATCACCAAAATAATAATCTCTCGGCAAAAAGGAATTGCTCCCATACAGGATTTCAGCGAACAGACTCTGATTGCAGTGGCATCAGCTCTACCGACAGCAGCTGAACATTGTAATGGATTTTGTATCAAGATCTTAGGTAAAAGAGAAGGAGAGCTGCCCCCAAGATCAAGGAAACAGCTCATCTCCGAGAATATTTTCTCTATTCTTCCTTCCTGTAAATTCGACAGTGTCTGACGGTGGCTTTGGTTTACGCTCTGTATGTCATATGAGGTACTCGCACCGTCAGCCTGCAAAGGATCTTCAGGGAAGCTAACAGTTTACTTCCAGGTGTGCTGACTGACTTTTCGTTAAGCCTACGCCATGGGCTCAGGTATCTGGATAAGCTTTGGGCCTCCTGCTAAACAGCCCAGAGCTCTTGTGACTCTGGAGACTGGAATCCAAATGCATATCACAGTTTTGGCAGCAAAATAGAGAAATACAGATTCAGAGGTAAAAGCCAGACCCAGGTATTATCCCTCCCAGCGCTGCAGTTATGTTTTTGTCTCTGCCTGTCTCTAGAAATTACGTCTGTCAGCAGCAGCTTTAGTGCTTTACTCAGCACACGTCTCGCCACCTTCTAGTCCAGCCTGATATGAGAAAAACCTCGAGGGTCCAGATAGAATCCAAACTTGTGTTGCCTAAAGCACATTTTTTTCTTCTTTCATTCCCTCCTGCTACAGTTCCATTTTTTTAACACTTCTTTTCCCTCCGGAGTCGCCCGTTGTGCCTCACACAGACCCGATCCCCAGTTGTCCCCGGATCACGTCACGGTACCTCTGGTACGCCCTCTCCTTCGACAGCTGCCTGTCCGCTTCGGTGCCGTGGGGTGCGTGGGGGCCGACAGCGACGCTCTGGGCGCCTTCATGGTTCTTCCTCTCATTTACGATGAACTCGAAGAGGTCTCGGTTACGCTCGCAGCAGAATTTCTGAAAGGCAGAGGGGTGGAGCCACGAGAGCAGCCTTTCCACAGCAACCTCTGATGATCTCTCCCACCAGCTTACCCATTCGTAATCCCGCGACGGTGGGTAAATGTCCTCGACAGAAGGGAACGGCCTCAGCAGGCTGCCGCAGTACTCACACCGTGGAGCAGGGTCCTCCTCTGCCTGACGTGGAGATGGGGAGAGAACGCAGCGAGGACGGAAAGGGGTATCAGCACACAAATCCTGTTTTTTTCTTGGGGAAAAGGGCTCTGCTCAAAATGTGACGTTACAAACTTAAACCAGACCTGTGTCTGTGGTATCTTGGAACGATTTAACTCAAAACATCAGGTTCAGGAAAACACCAAAAAGAAAAGCTGATCTGTAGGAAATACATAAATAAATAAAAACCCTCCAAGAAATGGAAGGACTGTAATGGAATGAGACCCATTCCTTCCGAGGGACAGCTTCAGAGCACACAGAAGAACGCTACAGCTGAGCACCCCAATGCACTGACCCTTTCAAATACATTGCTGGGGCTTTCTAGAGAGAAAGCTCTGGGGCTGTTGCACTGTTAATCACAGGAAAAGCTGTGGGGAATTCCGTGAGGAACCACCAGCAGCTCTGTTGGCAGAAGAGCTGAGGGTATCTCACCAGATGCAAATCAGGCTGCTGCAGGGTGTATTTTGAGGATGGGTACCAGATATTCAGAAAGAAACATCTGGGTTTTGAAAACATTTTGAAACTGCGTTACAGAAGATGCAGCTGCCAAGAGCACCCGCTGCTGACTGTCGTGTCCAATGCCTCCGCGCCCGAGGGCAGCACGCCCGGCTTGGTGACAGCAGCGTCCAGTAGCAGCGAGCGGCGAGGGGACTTGCTCTGGGCAGCTCAACTCCTGCACTTCACTGACGCCATTTACTGTACCCGTGTTCAGCGCTTTCACTCAAATCCTTTTCTGAACATACCCATTTGAAATACTTGGCTTCTCTGGAGTGTAGTTCTGGGAAGTTCCCGTGCTCCCCAGCTCATGCCTGGGACTGACTCTCGTGGATGACTTTACTCTGTTGAGGGTTATGGGAGCTCCATGCCCTGCTTGTATTCTTAGACTGTATACCGAGTATTTCTGTGCATTCTGTATCTCTCTTTTAGCCAAAGGGCAAAATCTTCTGCTAGGATATTCTCAATGCAGGATGCAGCGGTGTGGAGGGGAGCTGCACAGCCTCTTTCTGTTCAGGTCTGCGCAACAAGCATCGTTCCAACAGCCTCACAAAAGAAAATCCATTTCCTAAGGGAACTCCTGCACTGGCTTGGCAACGGGGATTATTTTATTTTTCCTAGATGGGAATTGTAGGAGTTGAAACAAACCAAAAAAAAGCCCCACAGCAGGGAGCACTCTGCAGTGACTCACCTCCATGTGTATGCTTTGTCGTGAGGATTCGGGTCTGTAAGCCAGCAGGGTGGGCAGCCCAACGGAGGGGAGTGTGCGCAGAGACTCCTTGAACAGCTTCACAAAATCTTCTTTGAACTCCAGGTGGAAAATACCAAAAGCAACGTGGAGTCACATCTTTGTTCGGGGTAAAACCATTAGGCACAAAATGTAAATGTGCCACCTGGGTGAGTCCCTACCTCCATGTCACACAAAACATCCAAGCTGCCGAACTCTCCTGACAGGGCTGCAAGTAAAAGCGATAATGAGAATTACTGACAGCAGCGCTGTGTTCTCAGAAAGCTGATCTTCTAGACACGTTTGGTCTGGTCCTTTTCCAGCACGCCAGCCTTCTATCACCACCCACATCAGCTGCCCAAGACCTTCTTGCCAGACTTGGTCCAAGGCTTTCGGGAGGGTGGCTCTGGATCTGTGTGTGACCCTTCCCAAATGCCCAAGGGACCTGAACCGGGCACTGACATCACATCAGGGCTTTACAAAATCATCCCACTGACGGCATGGAGATGGCTTATTGCTTAGGGTCAGTGACTTGTAGCACTGATCTAATACTGCGTTATCCTCTAAAGCTTTTCCAGCCTCTCCTCTCCTAAGAAGAAAGAACTGTAGGGACAACTGGCTTTTTTTCTCATTTCCAAGTGCAGTCCAAGCTGCAAGAGTGCAGTGAAGGGTTTTTGGCCTTTTTGACTGATCACACGCCCCACCCGAGAAGTGACCCCGGGAGTGCAAAGCGCACCAGCAGAGCAGCACAGGCAGGCACGGCTCTGGGTGCACCGTGGTGCCGAGGGACGCAGGGCGCAGTGCTCAGAGCAGGTGGACACTCCATGCTCTTACTCTATGCTCTCTGATGGGCTTCTGTACCGTCCCTGCCCACCACTGCTGCATCCAGACCCAGGTAGGCGATTTACCGCTGGCACAAGTCTGGTTTTGCTGTACTTTGACCGTGACAGCAGCAGTCATCCCAAGGACTCATGAAGCTCCACCTGAAGTGCAAAGCCTTTTTCTCCTGTTTTTCTCCTGCAAACACTTTAACAGAGCAAGCAAAAGCAGAGAGCACTGCTCACCTTCTCCCTTTCTATGGGGATGGAGCTGCACGCAGCTTTCCCCAGTGCTTGCAGCTGGTGTGCTGGGTTTTGTAGCCTAAGTCACTCCTGCTCGCAAAGGCACATGAGAAGCCGGAAATGTTCTCCTGTAGAGGAGGGCTGCCCGGCATTGAGAACGAAGCACAAAGGCTGTTCGACATGGCGCCCAAAAGGGATGGGATCGGGCAGCCCCTACCACTAACGAAGGGACAACACTGTACTTCAGCGGGCAGGCGAAGGAGCTGGTTGCTCGGCCGTGTGCTGGGATGACTCAGCTGAGCAGGAGAAAACGGGCTGATGGATTCCCAGCTCTGCCCCGAGGCTTTGCCCGTACCTCTCACGGGAAGACAATTCGCTGTTTCTGCCAGCAGAGCCCTCCCGCCCGCTTAACGGGGAGCCAGAGGCTGGTTTAAAAGCCGCTCTGCAGGGCGGTGAACGAGGGGAGTGCAGAGGGGGGCTCCGGGGGGCTGCCCCTGGGTGCAAGCGCATCTCTGGGAACCCGCAACCTCGCGTGTCCGCACGGACGGCAGCGGGGTGACGGGCAGTGCCATGAGCAGCGTCCTGCCCGCGCGGAGCTGTTTCTCACCCGGTCCCCTGCGGGCGTGCTCGCGGAGCCAGCTGGCTGCTGTC